GTAGGAGAGGCAGCAGTGGTAGCCGTACTTGTGCTAGGGCTCATGGTGGTGAAGGTGAGGGGAGCGGTTACCATCCAATGAAGCTAACAGGCACTGGAGACTCACTCTATACCAGGTTCTGAGTACTCTGCAATTAACTCTCACAATGGCCCTGTGTGGTAGGTGCCATCATTATCTCCATTTTACACATGAGAAGGGGCCATATCACAGGTATATGGCAGACTCAATCTTGACTCGAGCCCACAATTTTAATCTTTTCTCTATCCTGCCTTCAGGAACATAGGCTCAATTTTACACATGTTAAGTCTAACGATTCCAGTCAGTCATTCAAATCGAGATGTCCAGCAGGCAGGGGGATACATACAAAGATCTGACACTCAGGCCCTTATCAAGGATGCAGACTATAGACTTGCGATTTACCAGCATCTAGATAGGAACTAAAACCTACAAGAGTGGAGGAAGTTACCCAGGACATACATGTGGAATGAGAATAAAGGAGCTTAGCGCAAGGTCTGGAAGACAACAGACAATGCAGTGACTGGCAGAGAAGGACCGGCCCTTGAATGAGGCCGGGGTGAGCAGTTAAAGACACAGAGAGAAGATCAGAAAAGGGTAGGCATAGGAAAGCAGAGGGAGAAGGATGTTTCAAGAAAGAAGAAGAGATCAGTAGCATGAAATGTTTCAGTAATGTCAAGTAAGGTAGGGCCCAAGGAGAACTCATTGAATTTAGCAACATGGAAGGCACTGGTGACCTTGGAGTGACCTTCGTTGCACTGAGATCAGACGCAGTGTGTTGAGGAGTGAATAAGAGGAAAGTGGAGGCTGTGAATGTAGACATGGTAAAATTTCTCAACAATTTTAGTTACGAAAGGGAGGTGGTAGTTTTAGGAGAATGGGTGCTCATTTTAATAGCTGGAAGAGGCTATGTATCCTGGTATAAACAAGCTAGAAGAGAGAGGGTAGAAAAATTGGAGAAAGGCTGGGAATATGTGATGGGCAGAGGAGCCTGAGCCGGCATGAGACTAAAGGCTAGAACAGTGGCTAAGAGCAAGGGCTCTGGAAGTAGTCTAGCCCAGATCAAATCCTGGCTCCTATGAAACCATGGGACAATCTCTCAACCTCTCGAAGTCTCGGTTTCCTCACCTGAAACTAGACTCAAAAATAATCCTAGTTCTCAACGGGAGTAGGATCCAACAAAAGTATACACCGAGCACTTAGCAGTTAATAAATATTAGCTATTAATCCTATAGGATCCACAGTACAGGTAGGGAAATTGCCCTGAGAAAGGCAAAAGTGCAGTTCAGCCATTGGGACAGGAAGGAAGGAGGAAAGGATGAATGCAAAGCAGACATGGGATTTGAAGGTTCTGTCCTCTTAGGGTTTCTGTATTCTCTGTGATGTCAGAAGTGAGATTCTCTGCTAAGAGTGGGGAGGAACAGCAGTGGGGTTAGAGGCATAAAGAACATGGGGATTATTTGTAATAGGTGAAGGGCCAATGGGCAAGAGAACTGATAAAGACAACAAACAAAAATGGGTGGCTGGGCATCACTCAAGCTTAGAGACCATCAGATTACAGAGGCACCAACCTCTGTGTTGATGTGGCTTTTTCTCGTAGCACTGAGCTGAGGTGCCCAGGTACAGGCTCAGGACAGGGAAACAGCTCAATGGTTTCAGCTGGGGCTCTGGCAAGTAGGAGAACCAAAGGACCATCTGAGGATTTGGGAAGAAGATGGTTCAAGTGTTGGAGATGAGGGCTTGACTGGACAGGGAAGTAAATGAGGGTAAGACAAGGCTTACAGTTTGGAGAAAGTAAGAAATCAAAGAAGTCTCTAGGCTGAAGAAGTGAGCACTCCTTAAGTAACTAAATGGTAGGATGAGTTATCCACATGGAATTACCCAAGATAAGAGCAGGACTTAGAAAGATGGTGCAGCTTAGAAGGAAATGCCTGGAAGGCAAGTAGATGACAACAGTAAGAAGAGGCAAAGAGTGGGGGAGGCAGCTGCCATAAGCGAACAATCAGGAGTGCTCTATGGGGCAGAGGAAGGGTGGTCTGAGAACAGCTGCAGGGAGGACCTAATGTCACCGACTAGTGCCACGAGGAACTTAATGGTGGTTTGGAAGCATTTAACTGTGTTTCCAAGTTGTTTTTTTTAGGTTAAGGAGGCACAGCCAGCAACCACCCTGAAGCTAACCAAGCCTCCCTACAAGAGCTACACCCAAGACCTTGCCTTATTTTTAATGCGAAGATCTCTTCAAGAGGAGATTAAGCCTCATTACCATAATCTGCAGGGTACCCGCCTCTCCCTTTTGAATATTCATTCCCCAAACAAATAAAAGTTCTTCCTTCCCTTTGTTGGGGGAGGCCATGACTTTGGAAATGATTCCTTATGGCCTCCTATTTGCTGGAAATGCACT